ATATGTTAATATTTTTGAGTACATTCTTGGAATACATTTTGTGTGTGTAGCTTATGTCTTCATATTTTGCGCGGGAGGAGGCTGATCCTGTATCAGTAAGAAGACGTGCACGGATAAATCGGACTGCCAAGTTGATGTCTGCGGGTAAACGTTTAGGCGGACAGACTTGTTATTAGTAAGGAAGCAAAACGCTTCCTTACAATATCATACCTGATTCAATCGATTCAATTTCGCAAAACAAAACGGTACAGCGGAGAGAATAAATCAAACCTTAATAGAACATGTTATGTGTATGCTCATTCATAGCGGTCTTGATCATCGCTTTTGGGCTAAAGCTGCCAACCCGGTCTGTTAGTTAATTAGCAGAGCTCCTTGCAGTGATGAAAAGAAATCTCCAGCAGAAATTTGGTCCGGCCGCCGTACCGTTTACAAATTTCAATGAATTTTTGGGTGCCCTGCTCTCGTGTACACACTCAAAGAAAAACGTCGTAATCCGGAAAAATAAATCTATGGAATGCATTATATAGGATATAGCAGTGAAAGAAAGCTTACAGATTGTTTACCCCTGAAGACGATATTATAATCATAAGTCGTGGTGTAGTGTTAATTCAGGGGACGGCAATAATGAGATTGAAATCGACAAATGTTTTAAAAATATCAGATTTCTTTTTAAGAGGCTCGACAAATAATTTTCTAAAAAAGTCATATATAAATGTGCCTAAAAACCGCACACCAGAAAATGAATTAATGTAAAGTAGCCAAATAAAACCAGAATGTACTAGTTCTTATAAATTTTTGGCTCTTCCACCATCTTCCTTGATTGGTTTCCTGGTTTGTTTGGCATTAATACACCGTACCCAGCCCCTTTCATTTGCAAAATGACTACCGAAAGATGATTTTTGTACTTCATTTAAATTTTTATTACACATGTAGCCCATTCTTTTGTGCCGTAGAGCAATTTCTTTTCTCGCAACGAAAACGTTGTTTTCCTTCACTTTTACTTCAATGTCCATGCGATATTAATCGTTGCAAACTGTGACAGTGGTAACACCATTTTTATTCAGAATGCGGCACATTTCTCCCTCAAAAATAACTACTTTACCATCTTCAGTCAATGGTCATAGAGAGAGAAGGTTTGCATACAAATTACGTACATATTCAAAGTTTCTTACTATTACTGCTTGATTGTGTTCTTTTCTTAAATATTTAAGTCGACGACACTCGCACATCCAACGTGGATTACATTTTTTTTTTTTAGCAAGAACAACTTTTTGATTTTCTATGTTATGTGCGTTATACAAGTTAAAATGTACTTTTATTAAAACCCTAACAATAATAACCGCACTTCCTTGAGTTCTGAAAACAACTAAAAACTTATGCTAATTTACAAATTACCTTTTGTTTCTAATTTCTGCAGTGGCGTGATGCTATTGAGCATAATTCACCGCCCACCCTGATCTTGCTTATTTCGGTGCTTATTACGGAAATGCGTTGAGTTGTTGTTTCTGATATCAAATATTTTATTTTCTTTGCTCAGCATGGTTTATTAATCTAGCTTGAGTTAACTCTTCCCCTCTTATGTCGATTGACCTAAACGATTTCCTTAGTAGTGAATGCTGTTGAAATTTGTAGAAATGGTCCGCTTTTCGCATTGGCGACATGCGGTTATTTGCGGTTATTTGGTGCAGAAGTTGTGCAAAACCTTCCCTTATACTTTGTGATACAGATAAGAGTAAACATGATATATAACAGGAAATATAATTATTATTATTATTATATCCGTACCAAGATTTATTACATTTTTTTATATTATTAATTTAATATTATTTTCACGTTGTAACTGTTTCACATATAAATTCTTAACTTTTAGGTCCAATTTCCAATAATCATGCTAGGTAAAACAAATGTCTCATATATTTTAATATTAACATTGGTGTAAGTTTTGTTAAGAATACTTGTTTTACAATTTTCAAATCTTATAATAAATTTTACTTTTGGTCTCACTTCTATTTTGTTAACATCCTGAGTTATGTGTTCACTGAAAGTTTTAAATGTTCCTCGCGCAATTCGTATAATGTGAAACCTTTTGGATATTTCTAATTCAGATTGTGTATTTTTAAATTTTAAAACATTTATTTTCGATTTTTATCAGATTTTTCTCTTGTCTTAGATATGTATCAAAAATATTGTTACTACTATCCGTTAATAATTCATATTGGTTTAAAATTAATGGTTTATTTAGGGCGTCACGAAGAGGTTCAAATTTTGTATTGGATAGAATGTGGGTGGAGAATTGAGGTATGAGTAAAGTTTGGATAATATTCTTATTTTCAAAAATTACCGCGATTTTCATGCTGCTGTAACTACCAAAGTCAGCAATAAAGTTCTGTTTGCGTTAGAATGTCGGTCGGAATTATACGCAATTTACAAATATAATTTAGCCAAAGTCATATATGGTCCCGTAAAATTGATATATCATTGCTAACTCTATATGATTGGTCAATAAATTTGCCTTCGCTCTCTAGGTTTTTTATTCTATATAGTCCCACTTCTTTAAGTGCATTTATGTAGCTGTAGATTTCCAGTTTGCCATCGGTGTCCATAGTTCCCGCAATGTATTTCAAATAAAATTCTTATTGATCGAGTGCAAAAGTTGTTTGTAATGTATTTATATTGTTAAATAGTGAAAGCATTGTCATCATCATAAAATGTTAGATTGATAAAGTGTAGGACCTTGTCATAATAGGTAATTGTTTTCAATTATCTTATCTTGTTGGATATATATCCATTGTTGTTAGTTAGGTTTTGTATATCAAATATTTGACTTCGATATCAGTGCTCATTTTAGAACTGACATTGGGAGCTGCACATTCAGTAAGTGCAACAAGAAGTTTTTGATTAAGGTATGTTCCCTAAAATTGTCTTCTGTTGTTTTTATGAACTAAAGTGCTTGATTGCGATCTTATTGTGGTGTTATAGTTTCGTACCACTACTTCTTTCTTATATATTTTCTCTTGTATATTTTCACGAAAATTTCTTCTCCCTCTGAATATTCATTGGTTGGCGATCGATTCGCATTTTGATACATGGAATTAGCTCCTCTGAAAGCTTCTTGATAGTTTCTTTTTAATTTTTTTCTTTAATTTGGGATCTCTGCTTCCATGTCCCAGGAAAAATGTTTCTACGGACTTTTTAGCCACACCCCATGAAGAGACAAATAATATCCTTTTACCGACCTTCCTAATAATTGTCGGAACGATCGGTGGGTGCGTTCATTTTGAAGGTTTTCTTCTAATGTAGTGGGGTCAAATCGCTCCACTTGCGCAGTTGAACAACTGGTGTACGATGATGTTCTAAAAATAGAAAACCCACGTTCATTGTTCATCATGAAGTTTACGGAGTCTGAATTAAAGGATTTCTATTTGTCTGTCACTATGGTTTTAGGTACGAGAGAATGAAGGATATCCCTCAAGGGTTGTTTTGCACGTTCCGATGCTCTGGACAGAATTAGTTATGCCATGAAATATTTTCAGAAATTGTATATAGCAGTTAAAATTAAATCTTTTAAAATAAAAGTATGTTTAGGTAGACCGCCTTACCTAGATACTGTAGGATGGGGGTGGGACTTTTGTCTTGATACTTTCCAGCGTAACGACAATAATTGTTAATTTTGCAAAGTATACAACTTTTGATAACTTTTGTTTGTGTGCTTTTCATAGAGAAGATTTGTGCCTTGTTTCCTTACAATTTAGATGAGTTTTTCCGTCAAAATTGATCGCTATTGGTGATGTATTTAATGAAGATTGTTTGGGAGGTTCTGTGGATACGCTACAACATTAGTTTTACCAGACTTATAAAATAATTCAGTATTATATTCTTCTAAAATCGATTTCCATCTTTTCATCTTACCGTTGTGTTTCTTGTTGCTGAATGCGCAGGTTAATGGCTGGTGTTCCGTAAAAATTTTGACTTTAGCTGATTCGTATAGGTAATTTCTCAGCGAATTTAATAACCACATGATAGCTAGTGTGTGCTTTTCATTGGCGGCATAGTCGTCCTCGGCCTTGTTTAGTGTTCTGAAAATAAAAGACATTAATTTGAGATATTACGATAATACTGCTCCTCATAAAATTGGAGGCATCTGTCATCAGTTTACAGTCTTTGTTACAATTTGGATAAAAAATCATTTTAAGATCAAATACTGAAAAGAAAGTGGCCTCGAAGAAGCGTCGGGTTTTGAGATTATATCTGATTCCTCGGGGAAAGGGTATATATCCGCAAATGTAATCCAATTTAATTTCCTGTAGTCAATTACCCTATGATTTTGTTTATTACTGGCTGTATCCAGATGTTTTGTGGCGATATAAATGTTTGTTTACATGATTTTTTACTTCAGATTTTAGGGTTGCAATGATAAGAACAAAATTTTTGTATATAAGTTTTTCATCAGGTTTAGAATCGAGTTGGGGGAACATACTGTGAGGGCTTTTGCCCATATCCTGGTGCTGGGGTATGCTCAGGCTTTGACGCACAAGAATTTTATGTGTTTTGATGTTTTTCTTTAAATGTTTTTAGAATTCAGAAGTTTTCACTTTATTTATTAATTTTTCAATTTCGCTCACAATCATCATCAATAATGCCATTTCAAAGCGCACTGCCCGGCCGTTATTGTCTAATAATAAGTTTTTGGCTTTGGTCAGTTAATCTGTTGCCGTTTTCGGCTCTCCTCTCATTCCGGGTCCCCTACTTGACCAGACCAGTCTGTCCCGGACTATTTGGAGCCAGCTATTTTACGGCTCCCGTCAAGGTTGTCTTTTGGCCTTACCATATCCCAATCTCCGGTCGTCCGTCTAGTCCTTTACTTAGTCCTGATTTTTAACTTACCTTAGTCTGACACTGCCCCCTCAGAGACGAGCAATCTGTGAGGCCAAAACGAACGACGACTTTGACTCCTCACTATACTTATGATTTTTCTCATAGTTTCGTATTTCTTCGTCAATAAATTTTCTAACCTAATGTTTATAGCATTTATGCATTGTGTGGAAAATTATTTGAGGCTTATCTTGAACCCATTTTTCAATGTCATCACATTTATAGTGTCAATAGTTACTTCTAGTTACCTAAGGGTATCATTTCCCTGGATACCGTTAAATGTATTTAGGAAGGCATTAATAAAATTTTAACTTACCCTCAATTTTAGAAAGTTTTACAGAAGCATGTCTACTAATCCTCTACTCCTTGCTGGCAGAGCTTACATTAGGGGTAGTATTTGTTGAAAAGACCGGGAGTTCGGTTTAAATTGTTTGTATTTGCCATTTTTTATTACCATTTTTTTATTATAATACTTTATACATTTGCCATTCTTTATTACCACTTTTTTTTTATTATAATACTATATATATTCAGATAATTTTGTTTAAATAACCAATATTAAAACACAATTTTTCTGCTATCACGGAAGAAGTGGTATATCTTCGTGGTTTTTTCCCTTTTTTAGACTTGAACTGATTTGTCGTGGTATATTCCTCTAGGATCTCACTTCACTTTCCTTCTTCAAAAATTACTCCTTTTTTATAATTTATCTTGTAGGGATTATGCTTTATTTTGTTTGCCTATCATTGTCAATTATTTCTTCCTCCATAATTTCTCCATTTTAAATATTCTACTTTACGCGAAATTGTTTTTTCACGGTTCTTTTACTAGTGTACCCTGGTACATAATACCTTCCTTTTTGCTGATCCTACTAAGAATCCTTTAAGCTAGGTTTTCTTCATTTCTTTGCCCAGGCCTCTATTTTTGAAATTTGTCCTTTGTTTTTATTTATACATATACGTATATTTTTTTATTGTTACGCTTTTCTTTCTCACAGCTTTTTTTATTTTTGTACGTTTCAGTTCTTACTTTTTTTAATCTACAAATATATTATTATTAGACATTTTTTGTTTTCTATTCCCACATTTTTTCATTTTCATTTTTATGTTCTGTTCTTGTACTCTCACCTTTTCTTAGAATCCTTATTTTAGTTTCTTGTATCTGTTTTCCTTAAGATTTCGTTTTTGTGATCTTCTACTTTCTCTTGTTTTCAATAATCACTATTGTCATTGTCATTATTATTCTCATCCTTACTTATTGTTTTCAGAATTCACTATTTCTATTGTCTGGTTTAAATGTCTTTTGCTCGGGCGCCATTTCAGACCTACTTTTACTCAGGTCTTAAAAAAAATTCTTTTTTATTTTGTCGGTCAGCGCTACTGCTCTTTATTGATCGGCTAAAATCTAAAACCTTATGCTAATTTAAAAATCATGTTGTGTTTCTAATTTCTGCGGTAGTGTAAATATAATTATAGACGAGTCGACTTGTGTTCAGTGTAGTGCGTGTTTTCTATTCGTCTGCGTTTTTTCAATTGTTTCGGTGTTTTCGGTGTTTTTGTGTATTTAACTTCTGTCTTTTCAGTGTTATTGCTAAAACTGGTTAACGCGGATATCGCGTATGTACTTTTGTTTCGTCTATATATAATAAAAAATAGAAAACAAAAAAACAAAATAAAAATTGAAAACATTTGACACTTTTCTTTAGTAGTTCCTAACCTTCTTGCACAGTTCCCAAACCTTTTTAAGTGAGTGGTTATTTCAAAAATAATAATAAATAGACAACAGTAAGGCATAATGGCCCCGGGGCCGCCAGACAAAAACCCGAATAGATTTTATCTATTAAGTGATACATCCCCCCAAAGAAAAAAAAGTAAAAAATCAGATTTTCCGGTGTTGCCGATCAGCGATATAATCCCTATTGATAAAAAATATATTGTTATTTCTTCAACCGATGCTCGAATAACAATTTCCCAAATTAGCCCTTTTGCTATAAAAAAAGCTCTAGATAGCATTACAACATACATCGACTCGATCTCGATTCTACGCGATGGGAATTTACTGGTCCTCGCTGGGAACCCGCGCGCAACCGAAAAACTAATAAAGGCCAATTCTCTAGCTAATCTATGTGCTATTTCAGCTAAACTACATGAGAAACTTAACTCGGTTCGAGGCGTAATTTATGCCCCTTGCTTAAAGCATGTGCCGGAAGATGAAATTGTTCGCGAAATGGGCATTCAAGGAGTGACTGAAGCATATAAATTAACCAAACTGAATGATGACGGAAAAACACGCTCTCCTACAGGAAGGATTATTTCAACTTTTGATCGCTATCGATTACCGCGAACAGTTGATGTGGCGTGGTATAAATGTAAAGTAGAACTATACATTCCAAATCCTATGAGGTGTAAAAATTGCCAACGCCTGGGTCATACGGCAAAAAGATGCACTAATGCTGCATCTTGTGCTAACTGTGGTCATCCTCCACATACTGAAAGCTGTACCCGTAGTTTCTGCATAAATTGCAATGATCAACACTCAGCGTTAGACAAACAATGCCCACGTTTTGTACAGATGTGTGAAATATTAAAAATCAAAACAGAAAATTACTGTAGCATGGGCGAAGTGCGACGCACATACCGGGAAAGAAATCCATCTGTAGCCCATGGAATTGGCAAAAGTAATACCTATGCTGCTGTTGCCTCGCAAATCGAGCCTAGTAAGACTTTAACTGCAACTGCTTCCAATGAAAAATCTGTTCCACCATTAACCAAAAATTATATTGCGAAACCAGTTACATCACTTGCCAAAGATAATATTGAAAAAACCAAAGCAACTGCAAATATTGAAAAAATCCAAACAACAACATATATGCTAAAATCTAATATACCAAATTCTAAAGAATCTCCAGCTCTCAACTTTACTCAACATATCACAAGTGGTAATGAATACATTCTTTCATCCATTAATCAACCTTCGAAAACCAAAGCAACTGCAAATATTGAAAAAATTAAAACAACAACACATTTGCTAAAATCTAATATGCCAAATTCTCCAGAATATCCAGCTCTCAACTTTACTCAATTTGTTGAGAAATCACACGTGTTAATGAATCCATTCTTTCATCCCTCAATCAACCTTCAATTTCAAATTATTCACGTGCGCCAACCCGTTGCGCTTCAAATGTACCAAATCATCTAAATACAGATTATTCTGCTGGTAAGAATAAATCATTCACGAAAAATTCCTATAGTGACCTTCTCGACGGAGACGCTGACATGTCAACTTAACCCTCCCTCCACTCTGCTTACATGTCATTACAATTAAATAAAGTTTTTAAAATTCTACAATGGAACATTAAGGGACTTATTAATAATTTTGATGAACTCCGTACACTCATAAGTGATTTTAATCCAACCTTTTTATCGCTTCAAGAAACCCATTGTAGAAGCTCCACCCAAACCATATACTGGATACGAATGCTGATCAAAATTCATATTCCAAACAAGGAGTTGGTGTTTTTATAAAATCAAATATACCTCACAAACGCATAAATTTTAGCTCAAACATACAAGCCGTAGCCATACGAATAATGTTAAACATAAAATTTACAGTGCTTTCGCTCTATATTCCACTTTCGCAATCGTTTTCTCAGGAAGAAATCTACAATTTATTCTCTCTGCTTTCCCCCCATTTATTATATGCGGCGACTTTAATAGTTGGAATACCATCTGGGGCTCAACAGTGAACAACACTCGCGGTACTTTTTTAGAAAGGGCGTTAATTCAAAGCAATCTCTGCGTTTTAAATGATGGAAAACCAACGCACTTTTCAATTCATCACACTTTTTCACATATTGATTTAACATGTTGCTCTCCCTCACTTCTTCCTTTGGTTTCCTGGTCTATTTCTAATGATCTACATAATAGCGATCACTTTCCAATCATAATCGATCTTAAACTTTCAACGTCCACTGTTACTCCCGCAAAACAGGCCAAATTTCTCCGAGATAAAGCGGATTGGATCAATTACTCCAAACAGGTGGAGTCATTTTTGAATTCAAAGCCATTTAACGGGAACTGCAACCATGATGCTGCTATTATGTCTAAAGCGATTCGCACGGCTGCTCATCTGTCTATTCCTTAATCCAACACCTCTTTTAAACGAGGTAGGGTTCCTTGGTGAAACAACACCCTTTCGTTTCTGAGGAAAAATAAAATGGATCTATGGCACCGCTTTAAGAGACGTCCTGATCATGATCATTTCTTATTATACAAAAAGGCCAATGCTCTATTCAGGAAGGAATTACGGAAATCAAAGGCACTTAGTTTCGAACTTTTCTCGAGAGGAATTCACAGAAATACATCAATGAA